TATATCTTTTGTATTTCAAAGTATTTAAAAAATATTGAAACTAAAAAAAAAAAAATTAATGCAATTTTTCTATTTTTTTTAAATATGATTTATAATCTATTTATATATAAAAATAGCTACAGTGTAATAAGGATACGTGTAACCTTATAAACCAACTTATTGCTAGTATTGCTAGAGCAACTATTTTAAAAAATATGATATGCAACGTAAAATTTAATTAATATTTCTTACAAAAATGTTTCCTATTTTCATATGCTTATAATTTTTTAAATCATGATTATATTGTAAACATTTTACACTTTTTTAAAGACTCATTCCTTTATAAATAATGTGTAAAAGATTCGAATTATTTACCGTAAAATCCGGCGTATAACGAGCACCTATACTTTCAGTCTGATTTTTTTAATTTTTAGGTATATTCGCCGTATAACGCGTACCCCCTTTTTTTACGAAGAAATCTGAAATACTTGTATACATTGCTCTTATGTTTTGAAGTCATTTATTCGAGGTATCCCAGACTTTTGAAAAAAAAAAGTTTTTTTCTAGTACTACTGCTCTTTTAATTCATAAGGCAAGTCATTTCTTTTAAATAAACAGTATTTCGATACATATAGAAGTAAAAATTTCTTTATACTCATCCCTTTTGTTATTTTTAAAGCTATCGTTTTTATACCCGTCGTATAACGCGCACCCTTAATTTTCGATCTGATTTTTTGTGTTAAAAGTGCGTGTTATTTGCCGGATTTTACGGTAATTTTAATTTCAAAGAATTATATCTATTTGAAAATTATATATTTGAAAATTTTGAAAATTATATCTATTTAACACCCGCCACCTTTTGGCAGAAGTTTTTTGTGGGCTCTGAAAGTTGAACATGACCTTGACTCCTTTTATGAGGGTCACTTCGTTTTCAATGACCTACACCTCGATTCACTCCTTTTTTTCGTTGCAGCTTGCCTTCTCTCAGCTGCTAAGGAACGCCCGAGTCTCGTCGACACCTACCGAAATACATACGGCTCCTACCTGTCCGACTGCGACGGTAAGGATGACGATCTTTCCGGAAAGAGCTCTCACTCCTCGCCGGGTATGGAAGGTTCCGAGGGCGACTCCGAGGTGAAAAAGCCCTTGCACCCCAAACTCATAAACGTGAGTGGCACCCTGGAGACAAAGTCTCTCTGGGATGAATTTAACGAACTAGGCACAGAAATGATCGTCACCAAGGCCGGGAGGTGAGTTTTACTTGCTGATTTATTTCTATATTTTCCAAAATTTGTTTCATTACTTTTTTCCCTCCCAACGCTGAAAAATAGGATAATTAGAATGTCATTGTGATAATCAGGACTTTGGATTCTTATACTTTTTAAACTGATGTTTAGCATACGTTGATATCTTGTACCTTAGGGGTCCTTAGGGTACCTTAAAGGGTCCTTAGGGTACCTTAGGGTCCTTAGGGGTGTCAAATTCGCGCCCCGCGAGCCACATGCAGTCCACAACAAATGTGTTTGTGGCCCGGCCAATACCAATAAAAAAAAGGCACACAATAAAAAAAAAGAAAATTTCTCTCGAAATAGACAAGATGGTAGAAGAGAAAAGGTGTCAAGTATAAGGATGTAAACATTAAATTTTTCTTGTAATTTTATACATGTTTTTTTATTATAATATATTATTCGAAATAAACCTACATTTTTATAAACATTGATTTTTTTTCTGCAGCATGCTTAAAGTAAAACATTGCTCGTTTTGGTCCAAGTTAGCCTTTGAGTTTGACACCCTTGATGTACTTAATTGAACATGCTTTTTAGATTGAAAGTATGGGATTTTTATAAAAAAGCATTTTTTTTTAATTTCCATTTTATCTTAGGTCATTTTTATTTTTTATTTAGAAAAGGATTATATCACTGACCTTTTTTTTAAAAATTTTCTTTCTTCAGAATTTTGTTTTTTAGTATTTGTAAAAATTTACACAATTTAGATCATATTAATATGAGTGTCATTGTAGCTTTTCTTCTTGTCGATTGCACATTTTTTAAAAATATTTATGAGTGAAACTTTGAAATTCTTCGGAAAATCAATGATTTAATGGAGATTAAATTTTTCTCAATACATTGTTCACATAGAATGTGTGTGTGTTATATTAAAGGATTTTGACTCGGTAATTTTAATTGGAGCCATTTTGCTATTCATTTTCCCAATACCCGAATCCTGTTAACCATTGCCTTATACAGTATTCGAATGTTATTTGTATAAGACCATATAATAACAAAAATTGTTTATTTTTTTATCTCATATTTTATTGGATCTTTATAAAATGAGATGAATAAAATATACTTCTGCTTTAAAATTCCCAAATGAAAGTGCAAATTGGTACATGGGAATCAGTTCATATAAAAACAGAAAATTATAAAAGCAACTTCATTTACATGCTAGGTAAAATACAGAAATGATAACAGCCTGCAAAAGAACGTGATTATATTAAAAGAATCTACATTTAAGTATGTTTATTAGAGCATATAATCAGCGAAAAATAAAATAACAATTTCCTTAAGCGAAAAGTATTTATTTGAAAATTATTATTATTATTATTATTTTTTGCGAATTATGTTTAGTTTAAATTCAATCGATATTAATAAATATTTCATTGTTAAAGCACGAAAGGCGTTAATGTACTCATTATTTAGTTTTTCCATCAGATTATCTGATTTATTCCATGGATGTGTGGAATCAATTATTAACCTCTTCCAGGTTCATTTTATTTCTGGACTATGGATAAACAAACGTCAATTTTTTATGCTTATTTAAACATGTGTATTATCAAACGTGTATATCTTTTTAAACATAACACTATTCGTATACAAAATTTCCTAAAAATTAATGTAAAAGTATCCATTGAAATAAATGAGTAATTTACCTGTAAAGTTGGCTTCTTGTATGGTAGATATCATCAGACTTTGGTGTCAATTCACATCAACTATATATATAACGCTTAGAATATCTAGCTCATATCTTGAATTACAAATTTTATTTACATCTTTTGCTTAAACATATATATGATTATGAAATTATCAATCAGAATTTGATCGTGTATGGTAAATCCGAAAACAGGGTACTGCACATACTTACCTTCTGCCCTTTACCGTCTATCATTGAGCAGCAAACAATACAATGTTGTGTTGGATTGGTTTTCTTCTCTATTGGGGGAATTTAATCAACGAATTGTCATTCAGACAAACGTGAAGGGGGGGGGGTGATCAACAGAAGGATGTACTCTTTTTGCAGAAAATTCCACCGAGTGGTACTTTTCAATTATTCGAAACCATAAAAACTCATGCGAAATTATTCGGGAAAGACCAATTGCACAGTGTAAATTTTCATAATGCCCTAGCTACACTCGGGATGATCCAGAATGGTACGTTTCGCCTGCTTGAGCTCAGCTCGGCAAAAGCCGGGAAGGGGTTAAGAAACTGTCTTCCACGAATTGGCTTGGTAACTTGCTCATGAACGTATTCAGATTCGTTTCAGTTCAAATGTTTATTTCTTCAACTGATAAAACAAACCCAGGGTTTCAAAAAATGTAATGCGGTGTACTTACGGAACGTATTTCCTGTGCGGTGTCTTTCACTCTGACAGAAGGTCCGACTAACATGCAGATGGTTTGAAGAGGGAGGTAATATTTTAAAATAACTTAATTAATTCTTTGTGTGTGTGTGAGTGTGTGCACCTAATTTTATTCATTGATTGATTCTTTAGATAAATTAAATAGGTTACATTGCAAAAAATTATCAGTATGTTTTACGTACAATATGCTGATTATTATATAAGATTTCTTATAACTGTATGGAGGGGGAGACAAAAGTATAGAATGTAGGTTTTCAATTACAGTAGAACGTCGTTTATCCAAACGTTTATTATCCGGAGCGTCAAATATACGGACCAGTTTTTTCAGAGACCTTGCAGCGAAAAAAACGAAGGTATACGATGGTATAGCGAAAAATAAGTGATTATTTTCCTCAATAAAGGCAAAATTGCGTCATTTTGCACCTTATTTTGCTTTTTCTTCAAGCGCGTTTCCAGCATTTGATGATTTTCAATATTCGTATTGTGTCCGGTTTCATGTACTGCATGGATCGCATTGGGTTTTCGATTATCCGAACAACTGTGTATCCGAACGGAGTCCAGTCCCAATTGATTCGGATAAACGACGTTCTACTGTAGATAAATAAATTGCTTCTCTGAACATTAATTTAAGCATACAAAATATTCCTGTTCTTTTAGCAAGTAGCTTCCCCCCTTTTTTTTAATGAGTACCTAGCAAGAGAAATGTGAAAATTATTTAAGTAATTTACAAGGTTAATTAGGAAATGTGAGAAATCAGACATTTTCCCGCTCTTGAATGGGTCAGCCCAGTAAATATACAGCTTACTTAAGTAACATGAGCACCATCCAATTTCCATCCTTTATATAAGGTAATAAATATGCAAAGGAATTATTGAAGAATATGCGCATCAATTTTTATTTTCGCATTTGTTTCGTACTAGACCATTTGAATATAAAAGTTTTATTCAAGATTTAAAAAATGATTTAAAGTAGTAAAATGCGATTTTTGAAGTTCGTTTTTTAAATTAAATGCATTTACGAAAGATTAAAAACAAAATGCTTCTCGTTTAAAATTTATTAATTTATTAAATTTAGTAATTTAGTATTGGCTGCATTTTGCTTTAATTTCAGTTTATTTACATTAACATACTGCTACCTAGTCTGTTATTATGCATATAAATCTCCACTTGTAGGATTTTTTCCCCGTCTGATCGTTAATAAAAAAATCTATATTCATCCATTCAAGTTCAAATACAATTTTTTTTAACTTGTAGTGGATAATATTTGATGTTACTCTACAGTTTTTTCAAATATTAATTCATTAATTAAATTTAAAAAATGAATAAATAGTAACAAACGAAAATAGTAGTTCTACAGCATATATAGAAAGGAAAATCGTTCGTTGTGTCCCCGTAGCACAATGGATATAGTGCGTTGGACTTCTAATCCAAAGGTCGTGTATTCGAAACTCACTTGGGATGGCCTAATTTCTGAGAATGGGATTTATTTTCTACTATACTATTTTATTAGAATAATTAAATTTAATTAATGAATAAATAGTACCAAAAACAAAATCAGTGGCGCACACAAGGGGTGTTCTAGGGGTCTGGAGCCCCCCCCAAGCCCTCGATTTTTTTCCAGATTGATTATAATTTTAAGTATATAATACGTAAAATTTAATTAAATATTTGTTTTAATGATTATTTTTATTAACTAATACTAATTATTTATTCAATAATTAGTTTTTTACTGTTTTTGTTCCCCAAAATCGACAAAATCAAAAGGAGCATGATACAAGAATGGTGGATTTTCGACCCTGGACCCCCTGGAAAACTTCTGTGAGCGCTACTGATTCTGTCATATGTATATGCATATTTATATTGTAACGTCGGCTGGGTGCGTGGTTGGTTTGTCGCTGGCCTTCTGTACCCAAGGTTGCGGGTTCGACCCCGGGCCAAGTCGATGGATTTTAATGATGCAGAAATTTGACAGCGGCCATGTCGTATGATTATACGGCATGTAAAAGATCCCTAGGGGATTGCTCTAGACAAAATTAAATCCTAGTACAGGTTCTTATCGTCAGAGCTGAGGTGCCTCCCTCTAGGTAGGAAACTGGGCGTTAAAATTACCTGCGGTGATTGGTGTCCGCGGAACGTACAAGGTAGATTGATGAACTCTGTTCATAATCTGCCATAAGAAATAAAAAAAACTTATTGATTGTAACTATTTAATAGCAAGTAATTAAAATGAAATTTTTCTTGTTTGACCTAAGTAGGAATTGACCTACTTTTTTTTACTTGCTGTGCACATTTCTGTCTTATACACTATATGCAGTTAATTACCGTAAAATCTCCAGCGTATAACGAGCACCCCCTTTTTTTACGAAGAGACCTGTAATGTAATTATGCAATGCTCTTATGTTTTGAAGTCATTTATTCGTTGTATTACCTTAGTTTTTAATAAAATGGCATACTTATAGAGCTGCAGTTCTTGAAAGTTCATGGGGTATGTCATTTCTTTTAAATGAACAGTATTTAGATCTATGTAGAAATCTAATTTCTTTTACGCTCATCTTTTCTTAAATTTTTAAAGCTATCACATTTTTATACCCGGGGTATAACGCGCACCCTTAAATTTCGATCTTATTTTTGGTGTTGAAAGTGCGTGTTATACGCCGGATTTTACGGTAATTACAAATAGGAGAAAAACTGCTACTGTTCTAAGAGGAGAAAAATGATTTGATGATTGAATTAATAAGTATCTCGGAGCCTATATGAAAAAAAAAGTTTTGCTCCCTAATCCCAATATCTTGACAAAATGATAACGGGCTTTCATTAGTTAGAAATTTCGGGTTCTGAAAGAAATAACAAAAAAAAAAAAAAAAAAAAACACCACTACGCAATTCGATACGTTGTTTAATGGTGCAATTGAATCTTTCAACCCTTGTCTTTTTTTCTCGTTTATTTTATTTGCATTCTAAGTGAGAAGCAGTTTACGCTGTTTTAGTACGTTTTCATTCTTAAATATATGTTTGTTGGCTTTTCGAAATTTCCTGTTATTGCTACTGAAGAAATAATTTACGCATTTAATGCGCTTTTCTACTATCTCATTCATTAACATGCCTTGAATTAATGTTGTTTACGAGTGGGAATTCTGTTCTTTTCTAATTGGATTGTGAGGAAGTTGACGTTATCATTCATTTTCTATAGCCGATGTGTTCAAGATAAAATACCTTGATCTTAAGTTATAATAACTTCTTGAAATTCATTACTGGTAACATTGAAGTTAATTTACATTGATGTAATTGGCTGGTGAAATTTAGTTGTAAATTTATGGCAACATGGCCTTCATTCAGATGGTTTTCTTGGAACAGTAAAATTTTTTACTTCTTTTTGAAGGTCTCCTTCCCCCAAATTGTAACTCTTTTAGGCGTTTTAAATTGCAACATTAGGAGTTTCGTAATATTTGAGTTGATTTGAATTTTACCAAGTATTCTTTAAGCATAGCATTTCACTTTGACATTAGTCAACTGAAGTATTATGTGTATAATATATGATCAGTGGCGCACATGTGGAATTTTTCACAGGGAAGGGGTCCAGGGTCGAAAGTCAACCATTGTCGTATCATGCTCCAATACGCCGCCAAACGTATTCTTTTGATTTTGTCGATTATCAGGAGCAAAAAACAGCAAAAAGTTAATTATTGAATAAATAATTAGCATAAATTAATAAAATTAATTATTAATAACAAATACATTATTCAATTTTACATTCAATATACATAGGATTATAAAAAATCGAAAATAAAAAAAATCAAGGACTATGGGAACGGTCCGGATCCGGGACTACAAGTGTATTATTTTTTTTTGAAAACTTCTATTTAAAATCTTATCTTAATAAAACCCATTTAGTTATAATCTGTTTCTTTTTAAAGAAGAATTCATTTTATTACTGAGAGCCAACTTAAAAAATCTAAGTGTAACATCAATTTATGAAGTTATGGAATCCTGTAGTGGAAAAAAATTATGCTAGCAAAATTCTTATAGATTCAAAATATAAGCTATTAATTTTGATGTAATAAATAGATTTAATATGAAACTTTTAGTATGTATAAATGAATAGCTAAGAATATATTATCGGCTATATTTTATTTTTAAAAAGAAATTTTAATCAAAAATCGAAGATTGTAATTAACTAGTTTTGTAAATACATCTCCAAAATTACTATCCCTCCCTTTTTTTTCTAAAAAATATAAAACATTCTTTACTTAGCTTGTACCTTTCTATAACTTATTTTCATAAATAGGCACTGTTGATAAAAAAACGCATGCATCATAAAGAATTAAATTTAAGTTCATTGATTCAATTAAATGGCTTTCTGCCATTGTTAATTTATTCAAATACCTGACAATTATTTATTACTCCCACAAAAGGGCATAAAAATAATTCGCCTGTCATATGATAAGGAAGTTTTGAATTAATTCTTTCATTGGGCGTTGCAGCTGTATAGTTTGCTTTTTTAAAAAAATGTGTTTCAATTCAAGGGTCCAATATTTACCGTACGATTTATCATTTTTCTTTCTTAAAGCAAAAAATAAATCTTTTGTAAATGATAATAAAAAAAATTTAGTGTTTTTATATCAGGAAATATTGTTTTTATCTTTTTACTAGTTTTCATGTTTAATTTATCATTTTTATGTAGATGAGCTTATGTTATATGGAAATTTTGAGAAAACTTAAAAAATAATTTGAGGATGGGCTCCTTTTTATATCTTTTAATTGTTATTTATTTAAACCTTGAAAAATATTTTATGATACATTTAATAGTTTAATACCTACACGTCACAAACAAGCTCACTATATAAAAATATATCTATGCTACATCCGAAATCTGTAATTTTTCGAATTAGACCTGTTTAATTGTTCAAAATTTTTCAGAAATATTAAAGTGTTTTGCAAAATACCAGACTTTGTTAGTTATTAAATTCGTTTTTCAATTGATTAGATTTTTGAAATCGTGGATTTTTTTTTCATATAAAACTTTTATTTTTGATTGAAATTTGAAAAAAAAAGTATTGAAGTGTTATTTCTTTAAAATTTTTGGTTTACATTTAAGGGAAAAAATTTTTATTTTTAATAAAATTAATCTATTTGTATGGAGTATAAGTTTGGTTTATTTAACTTTTTTAAAGAAAGAAAACTAATTCTAACAAGTAACGAAAAGTTACTTTATTGCATTTTTTTTTACTGGAAGTGTACTTTTTCGTTTATTGAAGTGAATATATGCGAATATTTTTCAAATTAAGAATAATATAGTTCAATAATTTAATTTAGAGGAAATCATTTTCTAATGTACAAGTAGAACGTCGTTTATCCGAACGTTTATTATCCGGAGTGTCAAATATCCGAACCGGTATTTTTTGTCAACTTTTGTCAATTTAGAAGTCGAAAAAGACTACAATGACGACCACAGGGAGGAGATTACCGAATTTGTCCAATCGATCCTAGGATTTCAAGAACACGATGAAGATGTACAAACCTGGATGGCAAGCGATGCAGAAGACTGTGGATTTCAAACGCTAAATGATGACGAGATTGTGACCCTGTCGACGATGAAACGGTTGAAGATGAGGACAACAACAAGAACGAAAGTGCAAGGGTCTATCAAATGCTGACGCGTTTTCTACGTTACAGACAACTATGGAGTGGTACGAACGACAATCAGATTGCTGTCGGACTCAACTATTGCTTCTCAAGAGAATCGGAGGCCTTGCAGCGAAAAACGAAGGTGTACAATGGTACAGCGAAAAATAAGTGATTATTAAAGGTAAAATTGCGACATTTTGCACATGTTTTGCTTTTTCTTCAAGTACGTTTCCCGCATATGATGATTTTCAACATTCCCATAGTGTCCGGTTCATATACTACATGGATCGGACGGTGTCAGGTCCCAAATGATTCGGATAAACGACGTTCTACTGTATTATTAATTGCATGGCATGACTTAGAAAAGAAATTAACCTCTCAACTGGTTTGCCCGTACACCGTGCGGGCTACCGAAAGCTGTCCACAACCGGTTTGCCAGTACGCTGCACGGGCACTGATATTTATTTTCTTTCTATCTTTGATTTGCACATATTTTTAATTCTTACAGTGAGATTATAAGTGATACTGTGTTTAAGAGATGCTGTTTGTCCATGGTACTGAAATACTTCTTATCTGGGATTTTCTTTGTGGTGACGGCGGGAATTTTTCATTGAAGGCAGGAATTTCGATTCTTGAAAATATTCGTTAAAGATTTGGGATTGGAAAAGCAATGTGCAATTTGTTGCTTGAGAAGAAATGCAAATAGAAAGGTAATCCAAAAAAGGCGATATTATCTCTGTCCCCATTGCAATGTAAGACTTAGTATAACATCATGCTTTAAATTGTGTGCATATATTAGTATAACATTATGCTTTAAATTGTGTGCATATATATATG